CAGCGCATGCGTATAATAATTTTTTCCTACAGACAGGAGAAGGTAAAGACAAATAAATTTATCATCTTAACTAAAAACTAACATCGCTCATGCCAAATATTCACCGCTAAAAAACTTTAACTTTTCTGATTCTGATTACTCATTTTCACTGCATGTGGTAATAACACACAATGTCTTTGATTTCTATGTTCTCTTGTGAAAATAACTTTACTTCTTCTAGGAAGATCCAGAGTAAGGACTCTGGAGAATCCAGCATATCCTTTTTGAGGTTCAGGTTTGTAAACATGAAGAGGGGATGAAAGTGCAAATGTGAAATGTGATTTATGTTGTTCTATAAAGCTATTACAGTGTAGAAGTAATAATGAAATATTTTATTTTGACAAACCCCTTTAGTGGAAGAGACAGAAAATACAGTCACATGCCTTAGAGGGCTGCAATTAGACTAAACACAGGGAACATCATATGACCTATAAAAGTAGACAGGAAAAAAATTAGAAAAGATCTGAAGACAAACCCCCTAAACAATGATGCAGAAGATGTTTGTAGATTTTGTATTACAGGTGGCGAGTAAAAGAAAGACAGTCTCTGGGTCCAGCAACTGCTCTCACCTGGGAGAAGAAACAAAGGAATACAGGTACAAATCATCTTTTGAAAAATTCAGAACCTTAGTGTCAGGCTTTCATTCACAGGTGACAAAACAGAAGGAGAGAGAAGAACCTTGGGAGGTCCCACACACTCGGTGCTGCTGAATGTCATCATAAGGAAGAGGAAGGGGCAAGATGGACACGCTGATTTAGGCCTCTCCAGTGCACACACGTCCATAGAAAAGTTTAAAACATATTGATAACAGAGACTCTTACACATATGAAGAAATCTCCGTGATCCTAGAAAAACCATCACCGCTGAGCAACAAAGGACCCCTCACCTGGGGGGGGCCTCCCAACTCATCGAAGCTGCTTTTTATTTGGCCATTACAGGAGAACAGAGTACAATAGTTTTATTACTAGAACTAATACTTAAAAAAGTCACAATGCTTTACACTCAGACCTAAAAACCTGTTCTACCTTTATTAGCTTAAAGTGATTGATTTAGTTATCTTTGTAGTTCATAAAAAAAAACTACTGCTCGCTCATAAAGAACCCTCATAATTCTCTTTTTGCTTGGTTTTTGTGTGTTTTTTTATTTTCTATCTTTGATTTACTTGTTCCGGGGCCCACAAGCTGAAGATGCTGAGTGAACCTGTGAAATCCAGGGTCATCGTCAGAAAGGGCCTGAGGTGATGATGTGTTTTCCTCCCACGCTCTTACCATCAGCCCTGGGGGGTGGGGGTTCTGCGTCATTCACACATAATCTTCATTTAAACGTGACGCCCACATAAATTTATAGCTTGTGTATGGTAAAACTTAGTTTTAAATAATAAACAGTAGGGAATGTTGGATGAATTAAAATGTTATCATTTAAAACTGTTTTTAGACTTCTTACTAGTTGTTTAAACTCCAGTCGTGTGAATTGAAGAAAACCCCAAACAGCCAGAGTTTTGTTCTCAGCTTCATGTGCGTGTGTAGTAAGACCACAGTCCTTGGGTTTTTAAACAACCATGCTGTTATCTGACCTCGCTACTCCGGCTATCCTGTAAGGTAATCAAACCGTCTGTTGGTAATCTTTAGTGTCTCCGCTGCGTCGGAGACATCTGTATCTGTTGATTTGTGCTTGTTTCCCACACCCCCCTCCTCCCAAATAAAATACGAGTGTCCCAGTCGGATGAGCGGACCTTTGACCTTTGACGTTTGGTCCAGTCAAGAACTCCCACCTCTGCTGAGGGCCTTGTTTAAGAAAACTTACACTCTCTCTTGTGTGTGAATTATTTTAGGTGTTATCAGGAGAATAACCCTTAAAGGTGTTATCAGGAGAATAACCCTTTCACCAACGTTTTCAGAAACACCAGTATCAGACCAACGTTTTCAGAAACACCAGTATCAGACCAACGTTTTCAGAAACACCAGTATCAGGCCATTGTTTTCAGAAACACCAGTATCATACCAACGTTTCCATAAACACCAGTATCAGACCAACATTTCCAGAAACACCAGTATCAGACCAACGTTTCTAGAAACACCAGTATCAAACCACCGTTTTCAGAAACACCAGTATCAGACCAACGTTTCCAGAAACACCAGTATCAGGCCAACGTTTCCAGAAACACCAGTATCAGACCAACGTTTCCAGAAACACCAGTATCAGACCAACATTTCCAGAAACACCAGTATCACCAGTATCAGGTTTGTGTCATTGTCAGTAAGCAGACTGATTAAGTAACGACAGAGTCAGGAGCACAAATGGTAAGTGAACTTTATTTGCAGGTGATTGTGTTGTCACAGCTGTAAGGGAGATGAGGACAAGGTGAGTATGGGTTCTGGTTGTATGTACAATATTGAATCCTTGAGAAAGAGAAGAACTCTTTATCGTTTCTGTTTTTAGGTGAAAGCCGAGAAGGAGAAGAGGAGAAGTCCTGTGTTTTGCAGAGGATCTGGTTTGGAGGTAACTGACGGTGGAGAGATGAGCAGGTTGACCTAGTGATAGTAGTATGAAACAAAAGCTTCAAAACATGCTTCGAACCCTGTGGTAAAATGACATCAGAGCTCTGCTTCAGAGCCTGTTTTGGTGCAAAAGAAGTCACATGACATGTGACGTCTGAAACACAAACTGTTTCCTTGTCAGAATAATCTCTTGACTGGTTCACGGTCCAATCAGCTGATTCCCTGGCACCACCTCGTCTTGAGTCTGAAAGGTGACATGTTGAGACAATTTTGAATTGAGAGCTCAACACTATGAAACTACAAAACTATAAAACACTCTCAAATGTTTGCAGTGTTGGAGAGTAGGTGTGTTTTTACTGTTCATTTAGTTGAAACTGAGTAATTATGGAGCAGTCAGGAGAAGAGGTCATTGTAAAATGTGGGAACACTTCTGCTCATGAGAAGGTGGTTTGGGCATTTCAAAAAACTTATGTTCAGCAGTGAAGATATTATCTAACCCATTTAACCCATGTATTTAATAGAATTACAGTAAAATGATGTGATTTTAATAATCATATATCAGTATGGGCTCAAATAAAAAAAAAATATTTACATTAGTGCAGGTGTAGTGTTTGGTGTGTTCAACTGAACTGAAGCATCATGATACCTCCTCTATGATTAGACACTTCAGCACCAAACATGGAGATGATGGAGACGTAATTTCATTGATATTTTAAGAATGATAAAGACAAAATCAAAATCACTTCCATCATCCGTCTCAGACCTGTCCCGGTCCACCTGACTGCCGGGATCGGGATTCGTCCTTCATGATTACGTGAGGCCGTGGTCTGACAACGGCCTTCTGCGAGTCACCAGCACGTATGAGCCTTCACGGTCACCAGCGGAGCTCAAAGCACGCAAGGCCGGGATCCGGAGACCGAACCCCGAGTCGGCACCACGGAGGATCTTCCACGGTGACCAGCGGAGCACGGATCCGGGAAGATGACGCCTGGCTCTGAGTCTCCGGGGGAGAGGATCAGGGTAGACCAGCAGAGCTCCATCCAGCTTGCTCTGAATTTTGTCATCGGCCACCAAGCACAAAAAACTCCTGCACTTCAGCATTTTTAGACCAAGGTGGTGTTGTTTTTAAAATCTTTAAAAAATGTTCAGCTGCTGCTCCATCCAAGAAATTGCAAATGGCAGATCAGTGTTTTGAAAAGTTTCTGAAGGATCCAGTGACTCCGCCCCTGACCAATCAGTGACCGACATTGTTCTGACATCACATTTTAGTACCTACTTGGCCACGTTAGAACCACAGAGCCAAGGGCCCTGAAAATAGGAACAGGTTCTATGTACCGTTACTAATGGAAAAGGGGCATAAGACACTCAGCCCTGTCGAATGATCTGCAACAGGTTAGATATTGTTTATAACTTTTTACAAAACTCCTCTTTAAAAATCAGAACTACCTCTTTAAGGCTGTACATGAATAAATTACCTTTTAGCTTCAACAATTAAACTGGTTTTTGTGCTCGAATCATCAAAATTCACTATTTTTGTTCAGACTCAAAGTGCAGAAGTTAGGTTTAGGAAAATGATAGAGATGGATTTAAAATAGATTAGTCACAATAAGAGTTTTATATTCTATATGTTCTGTCTCAGGCTGTTGACGTCCATCTGAAAAGAAAGAAAACCTGAAAACTATCCATCCATCCATCCATCCATCCTTTTTATCCACTTCTTTCTTTTTGGGTCGGGGGGTCACTGGTGCCCATGTCTAGCCAACACAGTGTGAGAGGCTGGGGACACCTGGACAGGTCTCCAGTCCATCAGGGACACATAGAGACAAACAACCATTCACTCTCTCTTTCTCACCTAGGGACAATTTAGAGTTCAATCAGTCTAACATGCATGTTTTTAGTCTGTGGGAGGAAACTGGAGTACCTGGAGAAAACCCACACAGCACGGACAGAACATACAAATTCCACACAGAAAGGCCCCTAGACTGGGATTTGAACCGGCAACCTGCTTGCTGAGAGGCAGCTGCTCCACCACCTGAAATCTACTAAACCAAAAATCAATCTGCTCATATTCAATATTTGCTAAGTGAAGTTATGGCCGAACACTTGGAATGCTGTGGTTTTCACATTGACGTCATTGATTAGCAACAAACAACGATTTTATTTGTGGTTTTCAGAAGTTTTATTGTTTTTGTTGGTTCAGTATTTTGGCTCTAAACAGTAACAAGATGTAAAGAAGATAAGGACACGCAGAAACAATCATGGGGCCTTAGAGATGACTCTGTAATCCAACGTGCTCTGCTGTAAACCTTCTCGTTCATCCAGAGAGACGAGCACGAGTCATGCACAGTTTTCAGTCTGAAGCACATCCACTCTGAGCCCACGCTGTTCCGCTTCAAACCCAACAGTCGCTGGAACCAAAGTTCCCATAAGAGCGCACGAGCGGACTGCGGTGCTAATGTGACGTTGTTTTCCAGCCGGGACGCCTCTCAGCAGAATCCCACTCGGTGTCGGACCTCTGCCAGCACAGGTGCAGCGAGTTCTCGAGCCCTGCGGCTCCCCTGAGCCAGCAGAGCCTCCAGGTGCGCTCTGTCCGACCTCAGCCTCTGGATCTCCTCTCTGATGGGCGTCAGCCTCTGGATCACAGCCTCGCTCACGAGCCTCTTGTAGGCTCCCGTGTCCAGATGTTGCGCCTGCAGCACCGCCTCCTCCACGCTGATCTTTGCCATGGCAGCGTGGATTGCCACCAGGTTGGACACACCTGGGCGCGCCTCCGGGTCAAAGGTGACCTCAGAGGTGAAGTCCGTGACGGCTCGGCGGATCTTGAGGGTGATGTTGTCGGGAGGGTCAGTGATGTTGATGGTCGCCATCGCGTGGGGGTCAGACTTGGACATTTTGGCAGAAGGGGTGCTGAGAGACTTGACCTTTTGTGTGGAACCTGTGAAAACAAGAGAAATAAGTTGAAACCAGGAGGGAACGTTAGACACGGTGCAGAAGGTGAACAATGAGCAGTTCATTGATCCAAACAGCAACAGATACACGTCTGAGGGTAGACGTTCCTCTGTTTTCTGCAACAGTCAGCACCGATGTAAAAGCAGACGTGTCTGTCATAACGTGACACGTAAAGGCAAGATTTAAAAGTTACACAGAAAGTAAACAAGCTAAAAACTGACAACAAGCTTGGATTGTTTAAATGTAATCCACCGGCTGGAGTCAGAAACATTTAGCTTGTTGATTCCTAAGACACAGTTTGTGCCTCTCTATGTTTGTACTGCTACAGATATATTTTCAACTGATTTTTATTGCTACATTTATGAAAAAACAAAATTAACAAAAAAACTCCAGACATGATTCCAACAAAAACATTGAAATTATAATGAAGCTTTATTTAACCAGACAAATCCCAGAGCTCACAGACCAGGCCTGGACCTGGAGGTGGTCTAACACGCGTGTTGTTGGTCTGTGGGAGGAAACCCACGCAGCACAGACAGAACATGCAAACTCCAACAGAAAGACCACAGGTCCAACCGGGGATCGAACCAGAACCTTCTTGCTGTGAGGCAACAGTGCTAACCACTGATCCATCGTGCTGCCAATGAGATACCCAGACGCTCCACTAGATGACATGAACTACTCTAATATTTTTCCTTTCTTCTTCTTTCAGCTGCTCCTTCTTCAGGGTCACCACAGTGAACTAACTCGCACAAACACTTGCTGATTATTTTTACACCAGATGTTCTTCCTGACACAAGCACAGACACTGAGCTACCACAGCCTCTGTGCGGAGCAGAGAGCTGCATCTAGGGGTCCCGGGGGAGCAGATGGTGGGGGTTAAGGGCCTTGCTCAAGGGCCCAGAGTGGGACAAATGAGGGTGGAGACAGGTGTGGGTGCTTCACCTTTCCCACCAACATTTTGATGTGGTCGGTCTGGGTAGTTGAACTGGTGACCTTCCGATGACAGGCCCACCTTCTCTAACCTCTGCACCACCACTCCCCCGCAGGAATGTCTACTCTAATGATATATTAAAATAAAAACAAAAATATTTTTTGGGGGGGAGGTATGAAACTCGGGCAGCATGGTGGAGCAGTTGGTAGAGCTGCTGCCCCTCAGCGAGCAGGTTCAAATCCCGGCCGGGGGCCTTTCTGGGTGCAGTTTGCATGTTCTTTCCGTGCTGTGTGGGTTTTCTCCAGGTACCCAGTTTCCTCCCACAGACTAAAAACATGCATGTTAGTCTGACTGGTAACTCTAAACTGTCCCTAGGTGAGAGTGAATGGTTGTCTCTATGTGTCCCTGTGATGGACTGGAGACCAGTCCAGGTGTCCCCTGCCTCTCACACAGTGATGGCTGGACATGGGCACCAGTGACCCTCATGACCCAAAAATGAAGAATCAGAATCAGAACCAGAATAATCTTTATTACCATTGTACCGAAATACAGTGAGATAAAGTTCATACAGTCGTCTGAAAGATGGGCGGTGTGCACGTAGCTGCTGCTACTGGAGCGTGGCTTCCTTTTCAGAATATTTTTTTAGATAGAAAAGTGGGAAAAGCCACGAGGAGAGGACAGTGGTATTACAAAAAAGATCTCTTCACATCTTGTCCTATCAGGACACAATTCGAGACATCAAAAAACTCTGCCAGCAACATTTATAGACACATTCCATGCATTTGATGACAAGACGGTGAGATTGATCCATGAAGCACATCCAGATAGCACCATAGTCCTGATAAAATGTTGGTCAGCCAGCACAGTTCTGATAAGCCTTCACAGAAGTTCTCGTGGAGGGGGGGGGGGGGGGTGTTGCAATAGACAAAGCTTTTCCTTAGTTTACACATATCCCAGGAGATATCAGATAGTCGGCCTGTTTTTGAGGCCAAACTGGGGAGTCAGATTCACATAAGCCACAACTGTTGATTTTCTACAGACAGACTGTTTTTATTCTTGTCAGCCTTGAGTCCTGCTGGAACTTTCAAGACCCAAAATGACCAGATTTGTGGGTATTCCACTGGTCTGTGCTTATGAGCCTCCTCCAAGGTCGTCTCCAACATGAAGACAAGTCCCAGAAGCTGCAGGTGGCCTGTGATTCTCACAAATCACTTCCTTCGTACGGTTTAGCTCCTAAATCAGCTGATTTTGAGTACTCGAAGCACAAACCAAACCTTCCCATGAATTCTGCAGTTTTGCCGTAGCCGAAACTGCTGCCGCTGCCTTCCTTAATAGTCGATAACATACGAACCCGCCAATGCCAGAAAGCAGAAACCCTGCTATCATGAATCGAATTATATAAACATCTTCGGCGTCCTCCTGAGACAAAATGGAAAGACACATCAACTCCTAAACTCCCCACGGATCCATGATGTATCCTGCCGTGTGCATCTCAGCGGGGCATGAGGGCTCTCCAGGACCCTGTCGCTTGTTGAAAAAATTTTATAGACTGCATTGAAAGTCCAGCTGATCAGATCCATGACAGTAGTTTTTGTTTCAGAAGATGTGTAATAGGAGCTCTGATACACAGAGGGGGGGGGGGGGAGCAGGAGGAGAACAGGAGAGGTAGCAAAAAGGCGTCTGCCTTGCTCAAGAGCGAGTGCAGAATTACACTATTACAAAAAAGAAGCAGGTAAAGATGATGGCTGGATGGGTATAATTGTCCCCAAACAATTTTTTTCTTTAATACGTTTCATAATTTCCTGTTCAGAATGAACAATGAGCACACATTCAAAGTTTGATGGTGACCGGATCAGAATAAAGTGAAGCAGATGCAGAGAAAACGACTCCAATGTTGTTTTGGTTTCTTGAACATGTGTTAAATGTGCTGCTGCACTTTTGTTTCTGAAAAGCTCCTTATCTGGAGCCCACATGGATCCAACAATAACTGCACTTTCAAAAATCTGTTTTTCTCAACAAACACTCCAGTTCAGTGTAGCCGGGTTCTGAAAATGGACAAACCAAACACTGGATTGAAAAGAATATGATGTGACCCAAGATCTTCAAGAACTCACTTGAAGTGAAACTAGATCAGCTCGAGATTGTAAAAAACTCTGGAGAAAATCCACTAAGAAAACCTTTACTTGGAAGAAAGAATGAAAACAACAATTTCAATAATTCTTTAAAGTCAGAGATGAATAACTGGTTACAGAGCAGAAAATAAAATGAAACAAAAATAAACTCAGTGCAGAGATTAACATGAACTACTGTCCCATCCCAATATGGCTGCCTGGTGTGTGTGTGTGTGTGTGTGTGTGTGAGGCAGACGTCTCCCTGTGTGAAGTGATGAGCAGACATTCTTTTTTCATCTACCAGCCTCCCGCCCTCTTGTGAGCTCCATATGAGCCGTCCACATGTGTCCTGTTTCTCACTCCGGAGACGTCTTCATCTTGAGCAAATGAAACGTTTCAAAGAGAAGGTGGGCGCTCTCAGCGCTGCGTTGTTACAGAGCAGAGGGGATGACGAAAGTGCAGGGCTGATTAGACGCAGTCGTCTCCAGGACATACTTTATTATTGTGACACAAGAAGAAGAAACGTTTCTTTAATCAAAGTTTCACTGCATGAACTGAGCTCATCTTCTGCTTTTATGACGGTGACAATCAGAGAAAATCAAACGGGGGGGATCTAACATGGACGCCATGTGTTTATAAAGGCCCACACTATATTTTGGAAAGTCCTTCAAAATGAAACAGTACGACTAAAGTCAAAACCCTGACCGACTCATTTGATTTAATCTTTAACCAACCAAACCGGACCGGTTTAACTAAGGAGGTCTGACTGAAACAACCAGATTTATTTGGTCTTATTTTCATCCAAGAAGTTCAACATCTGTTTTATTTCATTAATTCCTGCCCAAATAAAAAAAGATCTATAATTTATATTTGGTTTACTTATCTGCTTCCTGTTTGGGTCAAATACTGCAGTTTAAACTAAATCTAATTAAAGATGTTACCTTGTCATCAGTTGGTCTCGTTTAAAACAGAACCAACTCTGTGAACTCCAGAAACCAAAATTCACAGAAAAAAGTACAAATACACATTCAAAAGCAGCATAATTACAACTTTAAATAAATTACAAATAAAAAAACTGCCAGCATAATGTCTGCATGTACTTAAAAAAATGAACCTATTTGAAAGTAACAGTCTGATTTGAAAGAAAAGGATCAACATATTATTTGAATCATTTTGATTAAAGTAAAGTAACTGAAGGAATAAAAAAGCCAAAGAGTTATAAAACATTATATTTATAATGTTTTCATTCCAGTGTACAGCTGAAGGTTAAACTGTAAAAACTCAGAATCTTACAACGCCTCCTCCATGTTGAAGAGTAACTCTGTCCTCAGTGTACAAGAACCTGGACGAGGCTGTTGGAATCGTGACAAGACGACACAAACCTCCAACATGTTGAACGTATAAAGTACAAAACAGCCCGGGAAACAAACGTCTTCATCGTTTAACATTTAGAATTATTGTCACTCAAACATGGATTTGACAGAGAGTAGCTGGCGGTAAACGCCTCACATATGATAAGCCTTTAGCATACACAGTGTGTGTGTGTGTGTTTTCTTACTGAGCAGCGCTCGCGGTTCAGGAAACAGAGCTCCATAGTGGTTGTTGAAGATGCGAGCGAGGTCCTGAGCCAGCTTCAGATGCTGGACCTGATCCTCTCCAACGGGGACGTGGGTGGACCTGGAAGAGACCATTTCAGCAGAAACGGTTTTCATTTAGATAAAACACCATTTTACCTTCAAAGTCCTTTCTGATGTTTCTCATTCTCACACCTTCTACTAGATATTCACTCTTTTTACATTCAAAGCACTTTTAGAGTGTCACTTGTCCACCAATAGGTATATCAGAGTCACGGGGGTGGTCTTGCCTGATCCCACCTATGACAGATGATGTAACAGACAGTCCAGTCTGTGGACAAATTAGAGACATTTGGAGACACTGTTGGAGGTCTCTCTCTGCCCATCACGCTGCTGGAAGTAATGTAATAATTAATCTCTTCATTAAAGAAGATTCATTTCCAAGAAATGCATATTATGCATCAAAAGTAAAACTGGTAGGTTTTTCTAACCATTATTTTATCTTTAGGTAAAATGTAATAAAATATAGTTTCAGGTTCTTTACTGAATTTTATTTTATTTAGAAAACGGTAACAAAAAAAAAGAAGTAAAAAAGCTGATAAAAAATAATTCGACAGCTTAAATTTTAGTAAAATGAATTATTCTCTAAATAACGTACTATACACACTCGGTGCAGTTGGGGGAAACAAATTGTTTTTGGCACTCATTTCAATCAAGAGCAGCACCATTTTGCATCCGTATATTTGTAAATATGAATGTGCCCAACCCAAATAGCAGTAGGGCCAATATTTTAGGTCGATATGGGCATTTGGGGACGCATCGGTATTGGTGACAGGTGTCACTGCGCCGATGTAAGCACTTCTAATTTTCACCCCTAAAAGGCTGGAACCAGCCGTAATTGTACAATGTATCCAGCAGAGTGAGCATAAAGACTAAATTTAAGTCATGGCCGTTCATTTTAAGTTTAATTTTTAGCACAGACGAAGCAAGGAGCAATACGTTGGTTACGTACTGTAACCCCAGATTCTATGAGTATAGGCGCAGACCTTTAAGGCTATTGCTAGTGGGTTTATCCCGTCGCATGCAGCGCAGCACTGAAAACTTTAGTCCATGCCTACCGGCTGTGTGGGCCCCACCCCCGGTCCATATAAATTACGGTAAGACCGGGCAATCGGCTCCCAAATAGCTTTTTTCTTCAGCCATTTAGGAACAGTGAGGCCCAGAGCTTAAAGGGCTGCGCCTATACTCAGAATCTGGGGTTACAGCACGTAACCAACGTTCTATTTCGTATAGGCTTCACCCTTTAAGGCTGTCGCTAGTGGATTAAAGGTGAAGCAGGATGTAGTCTATGCCTCACTGGGTCCATTCAGACACAACATGAAGCACCTGCTTGCACAAAAAAACATTTCATCACTCAGCCTTCTGTGTGCGTAATTACGCGCTGCGTAATTGCGTGCTCCATGTGCAGGAGCGAACTGAAGAAAAGATCTCTGGTGAGGAAAAAGGCTGAGATAGCAGACCTGCTGCTGTGAATAGGAACAACGGAGGATACAAATTGTAACAGTGTAACGATGAACAGAGCAGACCAACAGCTCCTCAGGATGAACCGATTAATAACAATAAAATCAGCAGTCATGAACTTGTGACTGATAATAAATATTTTACACTGCGACTGCATGCAGGCAGGTGTGAGCTCAAAAGTGAGGCTCCATGAAACAAATAATAATCATTCTGTCAGAACCCTGAGAACAGAATGGGTCATGGGGAAAGTAGAAACATCACGTAGATAAAAACAAATAAGTGAACATGGCGATGACCAGGCAGCCGCAATACAAATATCCTCCACTGTCATCCCTCCATGCAGATCCATGGAGGATGAAAACCCTCTGGTGGGATGCGCTGAGATTCTCTGGAGGATCCAACCCAGATGAACTGTAAGCTTCAGAAATAGCCCCACACAACCAGTGTGAGAGGCGCTGGGTGGATAGGGGGCGTCCTGAAGAGCAGTCCCAGTAATGTAATTCCTTCCACTTCAGAGTTACAAGGAAGAAGATAAAACCCATTCAAGGTTATCACTCTCGATCTGAATGAGCTTGTGATGCTTTTCAGAACAGGGTTAAAACGCAGTACAACTGAACTGCCGTCAGCTTGAATTCTGAGACATGAGGGAGCAACAGAGAGAGCAAACAAACACTCACTCCCTTTGCTGACGTCAGAACTAACAGCAGGGCTGTTTTAAAGGATTAAAAATGTAAGTGAAACCTGATCTAAAGGCTGAGAAGGAGTTTTGATCAGAGCGTGCAGGACCATCGTTAGGTCTCACTGTGGAGCTAGTGGACGTGACATCGGTCTGTGTCTCTGTACACCTTTCAGAAAATGCTTCATCAACGGGTGATTAAGAACTGTTCTGTCACCGAAAAACCTCATGACTGGAAGAAACAGCTGCAGCATAAGTTTTAATTGTGCTAAACGCTAAATTTCTGTCCATCAGCTGCTACAGAAAGGACAGCATGCCACCTAGTGGACATGGGATGGCCTCCACGCCTTTCTCTGCGCACCAGCGTGGAAAAACAGTCCACTTGATGTGTGCAGCGTTGTGGTGGAAGCAGCTCGTGCACCCTGACGTACGCACCATATCCTGTGGGAGACCCATCTTTTCTAAACCGATCTGTTCAGCAGACAGACCCAAAGATACTGACCTATTTCTGGGTAACTCCTGATCGCTCTTCCTGCCTGGAGCAGAGTGCCCCCCCACAACAGTTTCCACAGCCAATCCGATATCAGTCGCTGCAGATTTGGGAACCACGGAGAGCTTATGCGTTCAGGAGCTACGAGGATGACTGATGGTTCTTCCTCCCAGACCCGGTACAGGTTCCGTGATATCAGCAGGACTGGAGGAAACACATAAAGGAGCATTTTTGGCCACGGGCTGTGAGCAAAAGCATTCACTCCTAACGGTGGGTCGTCTCGTGGGCCCAGTGAGAACAATAATTGACACTGGGCGTTCTCCCGTGTGGCGGACAGATACACTGTTGCTTGGCCGAACCTGCTCCAAATCCGAGAAATCAGCTCGGGATGGAGGCTCCAGTCTCTGTGGCGGGGACCGCCCCTCGACATGATATCCACTCGCCTTTTCAGGACGTTGGGAATGTACACTGCTCTGATGGAGAGCAGGTTTTTGTGTGGACAACACAACAGCTGTTTTGTGATGTGTAACAGTTGGGCTGAGCGCACGCCTCCCTGCCGGTTTATGTAAGCTGCCGTCACTTGTTGTCTGTGTGGATCAGAACATGCTGATCCCACAGCAGGGGCAAAATGCTGAGTCACGTTTCAAACCGTGAAAACATTCTAGCACATTTATGTGAAGCGACATGTGGTCCAGCCACTGTGCGCCCACTGCTTGGGACAGACACATTCCTCCCAGCTTGACAGGAATGTGTCTGTGAAAACTGAGACATGTGACGTAGGCCTGCTGATGGGAACTCCCTCTGACAGAATGAGAGGGTTTCCCCAGTGATTCAGATACGTTCTCACGGAGGGGGGCACAAAGATAATCCGCCTCTTCTGGTGCACAGGATCTATGTGCAGGCGGGCGAACCATCTCTGAAGGCGTCTCATGTGAAGTAGGCCAAGCGGAACCACGATGTGGGCCGCTGACATCGTCCCAGGAGTCGCATGACAAGCAGAACTGTCACTATGCTGCAGGGTTTGACAAGGTGGAGCTGAGCTGACAGAGCTTCGGCTCTCAGCTGTGATAAACAGGCTCTCATTCTAGTTGAGTTTAGCTCCACTTCCAGATAAACAATCATCTGGGATGGACGAACGGAACTTTTTCCCAGTTTATAGAAAACCCCAGGTTTAGCAGGTGTAACATTAGCGTTTTGGTCTGTGCGACAGCTTTCTAACTGGACTGAGCTTATAAGAGCAGATCGTCCAGATAAAAATAATTCTCACTCTTGCCATGTGTAACGACTGCAGAGCAGTCTCCACGCATTTTGAGAACGTGCATGGGGTGTTTCAGAAGGATAAAAATGTGAAAATATGCGCTCTCCCGATCTATGGAGGTGAAAACCAGTCGTCCTGGTGAAGTTCTCCAGCAGCTGTTTGTCAGCATGTGGAATTGTCTCCCCATGATCGAATTGTTGAACATGAACAGGTCGAGAATGGGTCTCATCCCTGTTTTTTTTCCAGAACCAGGAAGTAGTGGGAGGAAAAAATCCCGTATTTTCCTCTCGTTGGAAACTCTGGAAATCACGTTTTTCGTCAGAAATTCCTGAACTTCTGACTAGAGAGATGAGCTCTGTTCTGGAGAAGACCGAACCATCTCTATAATCCCTCTGAACGGTGGGGGTTGAGCTGCGAACTGCAGCGTGTAACCCCTGTTGATCAGACGATCCATCCATCTGTCCAGGGAACATACTCGCTGCCACTCTGAGTAATGCTCGGAGAAAGGGCAAGCGTTTTGTGTTGTGTCATGTTTCTCATGAACGTCAACCAGACTAAAAACCCTTACTGCCATCACCTGCTCTGGAGATTCTCCGGGGGGAACCCAAGGGGGGCTCCAACAGAAAAAAGGTTGTATGTGTGCCTCTGTGCTGAGCCTAGGCTGCGGTCTCACATTAAAGCTGAAGTGAGCTGGTGAGCGCTGAGAAGAGGAGTGAGCGCTTTCTGAGTGAGACGTGGGTTCGGTGGAGGCTGCAGCTGTCATGGAGAAACATGTTTACTCCCGCTGCACTGCGAGTGGCAGAAAACAACAGAAATTAAAAATGGGCTCTGGCTGAAAATGAGGGATTTTTATTGAGACTTGGTCTGCTGAAAAAACATCATTTTAGCTGACGTGGCAGACGAGTGTTTTGTGATATTTGCTGAACTGCGGTGCCATTTAAAACGCTGTTTAGAGGTTACTGGCTCGTTCTGTGTGGGGAATGTGTGAAGAGAGGTAATTGTGAGATCAGCTGATCTGACAGTCTCAGACGAAACTTTACTTTCAGAGATGTTTCTGTTTTATTTCAAAACATACATAGTCAAAAAACACACACATTCCACTCAAGGAGAAGTTCCCTGGTGGAGGGGGCTGGCGGAAGAGTGGAGCGTGAAGTCGCTGCCGCAGCTGTGGAGCACCTCTGCTGCTGTTGTTGGCCATGGCGGTCCCTCTAGTTGCCAGAGGGGTGGGAGGAGGACTGTGATGTCACCAGATGGTGTACAGTCTCTGAGACCTCCTAGGACCTCTGCGATTTCTCAAGGATGGTCCTGAAGTTGGCCCCAAACAGCGCCTCTGGAATGATGGGGCTCTCCAGCAGGTCTTTCTGCAGCCTCAAGACAAGGATGGTGAGAGGCGGAGCCAGGTAGTCCTCTGGATCATGGTCATCCAGGCTGCAATGTGGGACAGGCAAACCGCAGAGGTGGCGCACATGTTTAAGATGACGTCAGCGGCTTTACAGAGAGAGCTCTTTGTCTCCTCCAGCAGGTCTGCTTCCTCCAGCATCTTTGAGACGCTGTAGGCCAGCAGAGCGATGTTGTTGTTTGCCGTGACCGCCTGGGATGTGCAATGGTGAGCTCGGTTGGAGAGCTTTGTCACCCTCTGGCCATTCTTCCCTGGAGGGACAGGTTGCCGGTTCATCCTGGAAGCTTTTGCCCCAAGCACCTCTGCCAGGCTTGGCTCCGGGGGGGGGGGGGGGGAACACAGATCGGTAAAACCTTCCACTCTGGAGATGGAGGCAAAGGTGGAGACGGATGCCTTCAGCTTGCCGGGCACAGCTGTAGCCTCGTTCCAATGTGACATCACAGCTGGACAGCAAGGCCAGATGGGATCAGGGCAACGAGCCGGGGCGGAGCCAAACCTTCCCACCAGATCATCCGATCAGTCTTGTCCTAAATGTCCTAAATGCCAACAAAACCAAAGGGATGTTGTTTTCAAACAGGAAGTCAGTTCCAGCAGTTTTTCCTTCTATTAAATCCTCAAATAATGTTTCTATTGAGTTCGTCGATTCCTATAAATACTTGGTATCTTGGTCGATTCACATCTCTCTTTTAAGCTTCACGTGGAAAACCTTTAAACTGGGTTTCTTTTTCAGAAACAGATCCTGTCTAACTCTGAATGCTAGGAAACACTTTGTAACTGTGACCTTCCTTCCCTCCATTGATTACGGTGACATTATTTACACGAACGCTCCTTCAAGAACCCTGCAGATGTTGGATGCTGTCTATCATGGTTCACTAAGATTCATAACTGGCTGTAACTACCGTACCCTCTGCACCCAGTATTCTCTGGTTAACTGGACATCATTAACTTCACACAGACTCTCTCACTGGTACATTTTCATCTTTAAATCACTTCTTGGTTTGCTGCCTTCATACATCTCCTCCTACATGTCTCTGCGTGAGTGCAGCTACAGCGTACGCTCTCAGGACATTATTACCTGCAGTGTTCCCTCAGTGAGGACTGAACTAGACAAAAAGGACCTTCTCTTACTCCGCTCCTGTTTCCTGGAATATCTTACAAAAAGAAATGAAGCTCTCCACCATGACCTTTCTAAGTGGCATCAAACATCTGTTAAACAACAGACAAACAATGCAGACATGTTCTTGTTTTGTAGTTTTCTACACCACCTGTTTTTTTTTGTTTTTTTCTGAATTTATTTATTTTTCCCCATTTATTTCTTTACTTTATATGCTTTCTTTTACGATTGCCTACTGTGATAATTTTCATTCATTCAACCTTTATTTAGACAGACTATTCACATTGAGCCTAGAAGACTCATTTACAAGTGAGATCTGTTTAGACAGACAAAAAGTAGTGAAACTGGACACATGTAGGAATTGGAGGTGAAAAAATTCCTATCAGAATTTTTCTTCTTGGCTGAGAAGAAAAACTCTAATATTAAAAACACCTCGCGCAAACAAGCACATAGTTGACATTCTTCAAAGGGGGGAAGACAACGAGAGCGGTGAGCAATGTCCATGGATGCTCTGGAGGGCACTGTAAGAGCTCTGATAAGGATGTAATAATCAGCCAGTTCCCTCCGGTGAGATCCGTAAACATTCTCGAGGGATGTTGAGGAATGGCCAAGAATAACGACTATGAAAATCCAAGAGTCCTGAAATGATGACACAATGTTTATGCAGCTGGTTTCATCTGGTTATCAGTTGGAAATTCCTCAGGGAGGGGGTGGTGAGCGTCAGATCACATGTTCTCCAGGTGAATTCAGATAAGATGACCTTCAAGACCAGCCAAGGGAGCCAAATTCAGATAATCACACAGTTGTTTTGGGGACAGGCAGAACTTAATGACATCTACCTTGAGTCTGTGTTGGTCCAAACGGTTCCGAAATGTCCAAATTACATGGCAACACCGATGGAATGTGACTGAGTAAAATCCCTGAGATCTGATCCATTCTGCCCAAAGCATTTGAGTCTGGGCACTCGAGGCAAGATCCAAGCCATCATAAAGGAAAGCAGCGTGATCGGGTCCTAATTTGCTGCCGACGACTTCCTTGATTTTTCATAAAACCAGCAACCGCCCAAATCCAAAACACAGGAACCAGTTATCGTAAATCCAATTAAATATGTGTCCTTAAAATCCACAAATGGCAGCAGAGATAGACACATCATCAAGTCTTCAAGTCAATGAGATATCCAGCTGCGTGTGTGCCAACAGGGCAAATTGGTTCGCCTAAAGCCTGTCTTCTCTTTGAAGGAATGTTGTAAATTGAGTTGAGGGACCAACTGATCAAAAACAAATCCATAATTATGGTTCGGAAGATATGCAAGAGAGGCTCAGAAGCAGTTTCACAGACAGACAGACAGAGCAGCAAAGCGGAGAGGGAGGGGAGGGGAAAAGTGTCCAATCTCGGCAAGAGCAAGTGGTGATGTGTCATTGCTGTCCACTGCTGTCATCACTCTTTGTTAAAATCAGGTCTCTCTTGTAAATGGATTTGGTCAGCTGGTCTCTGAATGCAATTGGTCAAATTTTTTCGACGAGAAGACAGGGCAAAGGAGAGCCCTCCTGCCCTGACGGGACACTTGCAGCCAGATACATGATGGATTCCTGAGGGCAGTGGAAGATCGTGTGTCTGTCCATATTGTTGGTTGAGGATGTTGAAGATGCATATGTAATTGGATTTATGATAACAGGATTTCTGCTTTTTGGAGTTGGTGGTTACCTGGCATATTGACAAATTAGAAAAATGTCGACAGTTGTTCTGGCAATTGTGAAGCTGCCTGGCGAGGGGATGTGTCGTGCTGAGAACACTCAGACTCAAATGCTGTGAGCTGAGCCATAATCTGGACATGATTGTTGAGAATCGCAGGCTACTTGCGGCTCCTGAATCTCACGGGCTGTAAGGAATTGATCTTGGAGAAGTTTGCAAGCTCGGCTCGGTGGAGTCGACCAGAAATTTGGGCGTTTGGAGTTGACATTGAGATGTACCAGCGAGATTGTAAGGCAGACAGAAATTAACGGCGTCGGCCTGACCCAAAACAATTGTTATCTGAACCTGGCTCCCCTGTGTTGACATTGGAAGGCTGACTATCTCAAATTCTCCTGGATGCTAGATGAACAAGATGCTCTGCTCCCCCCTACCCGTTCCCTTCCCCAAGGACATCTGTGGACCTGTGTCAGAGCTCTACCAGGTCGGCTGATAAACATTGCACCATCACTTATCATGGACTATGACTGTAGGGGCTACCTGAGACCACGTTCACGGACTTACTCCCCTCAAACTCACCGCCTTCGCTGGCCTCCTTCCTTCTGCCACCCCCCCACCCCCACCCCCAGTGCAGTAACTTAGGTTATATGCGAAGGTGCCAGGTGGTTGCATTGCTCACTTGGGCAGCCTGTGTATCTTATGTCATCTGTATGTTGCTTTTCTGTGCTGAGGTTGTTGTTTTTTTTTTTCAATTTTAAATTGTGTCCCAGCCGTCTCACTTCTACACGAGTCGCTCCACCGACAGCCAAAGAGGACGTTGGCCTTTTGTGTTTGCTTTGAAGTTTAAAGAGGAGTTTGAAAGAGTATTACGAAGAGCCATAATTCAACCAATGGATCAGTCTACTTTGTATTGAATACGTTCAGAGGAGAGCATGTCACAGAAAACATATCCAACATTACACCTAAATCACAATTTTAATTGTACTAAAAGTTACTAAATGAAAGCTGAAATTAAAACTGTACAATATTAAAAGGATCTTTTTTTAGACTTCAACTAAATCTGTTTTACAATTAACTTTTAGGAAGTGACGCAGAATCTGCAGCAGAGTCTGTACGAGATGAAACAGACTAAAGTTTTTAAACACTAAATGATGAATCTGTGTCCGACAACAGGATGCTCCCAGATGTCCGTGCATCCTAATGGCAAGGAACTTTACAAACGCTGCCTTCACAAAGGATGGACACATTTGTCTCCGTTTCCTCTGAAGTAAGGTAAGGAATTAAAATAAGATTTCTGTCTCACCCAAAGCAAAAAGGAAGAACTCATTAATTATACAGAAGAAGTCTGGTTTTAAAAGAATATTGAATCAATTTTAAAAAAATGTGATCAGAATTATTGAGTGGGACATTGTATTATAAATTCTGCTTATTTTTAATTTAAGACTGAAGTCTTTAAAAATGACAAATATAATTTTTCAAACATAAAAACACAAGTCTCACTTGTAGAGGAGAATGTCAGCAGCCTGGAGGACAGGATATGTGTAGAGACCAACACTGCCCTCGTTCTTCTGCTTACTCTTGATCTGTAGCAAGTCAGAAAATCAGAACCAAGTGTGAAAAATAAAAAACGAGGAACAGAAATACAAAAGCGATTTAATTCGACAAAGAACCATTTCTATATTTAACAACTCATCAACCTTCACACAAATCAGTTAGAGATCATTTGTTGACTAAACCAAAAGTGTTTTCTGTAGTTCTCCTGCTCTGAAACTGTGTGTGACCTGAGAAATAACCATAACCATATGACCTGATGCATGCTCAATAATCCAGGTAGAAAAATCTAAAAAAGTTGAATCTGGTCCTCTGGACATTCAAAAAAACACAACAAAGCAAAACAACAAAAAATGTAGAAATGTTTCATCTTTCATCCGAGAGACTTCCTCAGTCTGAGGTACTGTATTCAGCTCAGTCTCTTAAATAGCACCTTCTCAGAGTGGATCAACCAGTTTGCTGCCGACAACCAAAACCAGCTGATCACATGATCAAGAAGGACCATCAGCCTAACAATGGATCATTAGCACACTGAATAGTAAACAGCCATCAGTGTGCTAATGACCCATTGTTAGGCTGACATAACCATATGATTTTAAATCATTGGCAAATGAAGTAGAAAATCAGAATTAAGAAAACTAATTAATTACCTAACAGTAAAGCACAGGCTACTGGGAAGAGTTGAGCAGAGAATTAACAAAATCAACATGAAGTTGAAGCTGTGAGAAAGGATAAAGACATTCAACTATATAATACTAACAATAAAAATAATATATATATAAATACATTATTATTGCTTTTTCTTTGGTAACAAATTGGACTTGAACATAAAATTAAAAAAGAAAATCGTTTTTTTGTCATTTTTTTTTCATATTTAAAACACAAACAATTTAGAAACCAAATGAGAAAAAAAAAACACGTCATAAAATGAAAGGTAGCAGAAGAAGAAAAAATCTTATCATATCTGCCCCTTGTTTAAAACAAAATCAATTCAAACAATCAATTCAAACAATAATCATCTATAAGTAATATAACAAAATAAATAACTCATCACAATTTTACTTATTTATATATATGTTTCCAAATTTTAATCTTAATCATTTTCTTAAATATAGGCAATGACTTTACTTTTTTAACATAGCTTTCCAAACTATTCCACAGACCTATTCCCTGAATTGAAGTAGACCGACCCTTTAAACTGGTTCTGTACTGTGGTTTAACAAAAATGTCTGTTCCCTTAAGATTATAGCAACTTTTCCTTTTTACAAAATGCGTTTGAATGTTTCAAGGTAGTGTGTAGTTCTGAGCTTTATACAGTACTAAAAGAATATTATAGTTAACCAAATCATGAAACTTCAGTAATTTCAATTGATAAAATAAAATACTAGATGGATGACAATAATGCTTTCTTGTGATAATTCTTATAGCTCTTTTCTGCAAAATAAAAATAGACATCGTTATAGTTTTACATGCTGTTCCCCAAACATCAACACAATAAATTAAATGTGGGACTATAATTGTATTATACAGCAAATACAAGGCTTTATCATTCAATAAGTCCCTTACTTTATACAGTACTGCGGTGGATTTAGATATTTTAGTTTTTACAGAATTTATGTGCTGTTTCCATGACAGTTTATCATCAATAATTACACCCAAAAACTTCACCGCACCTACTCTGCATATCTCAACACCATCAACTCTAAAAGGAACATCGACAGTTGTCTTTTTTTTACTAAATATAATGTAATTAGTTTTATCTAGGTTCAATGATAACTTGTTTAATTTAAACCAATTTTGTATTTTGACAAACTCCATCTTCATCAACTCAAACATCTGTTCCAAGTCTTTACCCAAATAAAAGAAAGTGGTATCATCAGCAAAGAGAACACATTTTAGGATACTGGACATCTCCGTCAAATCATTTACATACAAAATAAACAACTTAGGTCCAAGTTGTTTGTTTGTTTACGATTAATTAATCGTAATTAATTCTTGAAGTTCATGTTTGATCTTAGGGCTACTTGTCTCTATTTAATGACACATATTGTAGCTCTGATGTAAATAAACTTCCCACACAGAAGATGACATCATGAAGAGACAAAAAATAATAATAATAAAAAAGAACCACCAATAGTTCACAAGTTCAGGCAGGATTTGGTTAAACAAGAATCAATTCATAGTTTACGCATCAACAAGCTGAGCTTTATTAATTCAGGAACATGTTTTTTATTCGTGTGTTTATAAGACAGCAAGAGATTTAGAACGACTGCGATCATTGGGACAGACCAACAAAAAGCAGACGTGCGTTCAACACAATAAATCTAATTTCTGTTACATGAAGTACTGCAGCCTTCTGAAATGGTTCAACTGAAACAAGAAGATTTCACCTTCCACTGTGGTAGGTGGCGTAAGCGGGGCATGCTGGTCACACAGCTGAGGATCCAGGAGAGCTCAGCGTGCTCGGACACCTGCAGAGTTCAGACAGTTGGAGACAAATCAACTCATTACACACAAATCCAAATAAAACAACTATAGATTTCAATTCAGTTCACTTATATAGCACCAATTCACAACAAACGTCTCAGGGCACTGAACAGGAACATTCACATACATAGACAAGCCAGTTAGTAAAGTTCTTTATCTAAGGAAGCAGCAGACAAGTTGAATCTTCACTTCGTCACAGTCTCCCATCCTGATCATCCTGATCAATCAGATCTTTTTAGTTTGGTCACAGAATCTCTCCACCTATACGTTTTCCATTACAGAGTAAAGCATCATCAAAGTATTTCCTGATCAGATCACAAAAGCTTGAAGTTTCAACATATTGGAACCAACTCTGACCTGATGAACAGTTTCTGTTGTTGCATATTTTTTTAATTCCTTGTTTATAAATATCTCCAAACACATATAAGTAAACTGTGTTTGACGTTTTTTTTCTTCCAAATATGATTGTAACCTCATTCAAAGAGGCATTCCAGAGTAACACAGCAAAAGGAGGCAGATTAAACAAAGGATGAAAAAGTAAACTCCCTTGTGCCTCCTAGTGGACTGGAGGAGCACTGCCATCTACAACACAATTACACAAGTTGTTTCTTTTTTTTTTCCATTTACCCTTTATTTATCCAGGTAGTCTCATTGAGCCACGAGAACTCATTTTCAAGAGAGACCTGTTGTGGGAGCAGATGGGGGGTTAAGGGCCTTGCTCATGGGCCCAGGGTGGGGCGAATGAGGATGGGGGCAAGTGTGGGTGCTTCACTTACCCCACCCACAATTTTGATGTTGTCGGGGCAGGGGCGTGAACCGGCAATCTTCGGATCATAGGCCCACCTCTCTAACCTCTGCGCCACCACTCCCCAAGTTGGTTTATTGTTTATTTGTCATAATTACCACAAGGACAACAACGAAATGTTCAGGATGAGAAGAACCAATTTGACTCAATAAACAAGAAATACAATGAATATAATGAAATACAATGAATATAATGAAATACAATGAATATAATGAAATACAATGAATATAATGAAATACACAAAAGTTCAATCTGGTCCTCTGGACATTCAAAAAAAAAAAAAAAAAGAAAAAATATAGA